AATCGGTACACTATCGTATTCAAATCATGTATTATTTATCGATTACGCATGAAAGTTTCGCATAGTTGTTTTCACTTTATTTATCTGGTCAGAGAAAACGCAAAGTTGATTAAGTGCTTAATGACGTCCATGTAAATCTATCCGGTATAATATCGCTGTTTTCCTGCATAATATTTGTTAGTGATATCCCTTTTTGTCCATTTTTACTCATTTTGTCCACAGATGAATTCACTAAGTAGTGGCATCTTAAGAAGGCGCATTGCTTTCTTAATTGGCCATTACCTAATTACTAAAGAAGACTTTTTTTCACTGAGCCCTCTCAATGATGATCTATTATGAAGAATTAGCAATCCGTTAAATATTTCTTTAATTTGGTTCTGTCTGGTTAATCAAACGCCAGCACTTTTTTATATATGGAGCGTTTCTAACCGATACTACCACAAAGGAATGCTTGACACAATTTAATTTTTCTTAAAAAACTTTTATACTAATGGATGCATCGCCATACTATTTAGAAAATGCGTCGTCATCTTTGGCAATTTGCATTGATATAAGACGAAGTAAAGTTGTTGGAATACATAGTATTTATTCTCCAATGGTTTTATTTACACAAGGAACCCAAAACAAAACAAATGAAACGTCTTCAGAAAAGAAAGGAAAGCGTCGGCAACACTTTGTTGTTGTTGGCTGGTCTAATCGCGTGACGTCTATCGTAATACCAAAACGACGAGAGTTCAATAGAACCGATTAAATGTTTTTTGTAATTTTCCCAAGTTTTTTAGAGTTTATTAGCTTTTTTGTAACTTAGTTAAAAGTTGTAAATGCCTAAAAATAACAACGCAGGACAAGCGTGCAGTTTACGAAATACTGGGCAAAACTGGAAAAGTATATTAAAACGGTAAAAAAACAAACCGCCTTGATTTCAATGGAATGTTACTGAAAAATGTTGGCATTCATAAGCGTTACTTATCTTTTAAAGTTTTGAGAAACAGAAATTTTATATAAATAGTGAAATACAATTTAAAAAACGCTATTTCAAAAATTGTTGATGAAAAACTAAAACCAAACTTAACTGAAATCCTACAGTTTTGAATTGAGTTAAGTCAGGTCAGATGGTCATATTTTGGAGTGAGGAATTTGTATTTGCAATTTTCTATACCTTTTGGCGACACTAGTAAAAATTCAATTCCTGATCTTCCCTGATTTTTACAATTTAGTAATACATTGTATGCACGAATGTTGTACGGTTTGTCCTAAACTTCCCCTCAAATTAACCAAACAGACAAATTTCAATTCTATTTTTTTAAAACGGAAACTTAAAAAAGAGTAGTGCTTTACAAATTTGGAAGAAACAACCTTGTCGTCATCCACAACACTGGCGTGTGTCCAACTTCACTTTTTCGAATGTGGTATCCCAAGAACTAAAATAATGAAATAAAAGAGCCAAGAAAATTCCTTTAGAGCAATCTTTCTTTTCATATAAAATACGCCATACTAATAGTACAGCGAAAATCGAATACAAATGAAAATGAGGTACAAGAAAGTTTGAACACTCTCATACTATGTCCAGTCAATTCTTCGTTTAGAAATGCCGAAATTATCTGAAATGGGGCACAAGTTTTATAAACAATTGAAAATATCCTAACTCTCACACGTAACTAAAGTACCGGAAATAATCGAAGTGGCGAGAGTCCTTAGTAAGATTGATATAAAACATAAAACATCACTCTTTATGGGATCGTTTTTGTACCAGGTTTATTTAAAGGATTCCTCTTAGTATTAAAATTTTACCTCCTACACCATTCAAAAAGGCTATTGAATTGAATTGTTTCACTATATCATCCTATCTTCTTTTGTCGTTATGTATTCTGTTTATATAAATTAATTCATGTAAATAATAATAGGTTCTTGTAATTGATGTGCAATAAAGTCATATTATTAATATTATTATTATTATTATCATTATTATTATTATTAGTATTATTATCATATCTTAAAGTATCACTTCGCGCACGTTTCGTCAGTGCATAATTAGGTATTTTAGAGTAGGGAAAAAGAGAATATTTATAAGTCAAAATATAGACGAAAATGATACAAATCCATAAGTACAAAAAATACAGAATATGCCAGTTATAATGCAAAATTTACTATCGTTTCTGCTTAAACCGGAGTAAATTAATTCAGAGCATAAGGTTGAAAAATTGTAAATAGATATTTTGAACTGTTTAATAGTTATAGGGTAGCCCCGCGTTCTTGTGTCATCCAGTACAATTAAAATTTTAACTCTACATAAAGGAATAAACGAAAAAAACCGTATATCGTTTTACATGAAGTGACAATCACTAAGTAATCCAATACAAAAGCCGTATTAAAAACAGTTACCAAATAAAAAATCGGTATAAAATCACGTTGACAAGCGCAAAGGAGTCTTGAAGAGTGCGCTTATGTAACATTTTTAAAAAATTGCACACCACGTTGGCCGATGTTTAACCGAACAGGTATTCAAAAATCAAGTTCAGTCATATATACCTGTTAACCTGAATATTTTTACTCGTTTACAAGGTGGGTTAATCATTAATATAGCAGTAAATAAATTGCAGTTAAAAAATTAAATGTATAAGTTAATTGGTGTCATCGAAAAAATACACTTAAACGGCTGACGATTAATTACAGCTATTTGTGAAAATGAGGTGCCGGTTTTGTAACATTTTAATTCGATTATTTAACTAAAAATAGTTGAGGCTTATCTACAACAACAGTTCCCTTTATATTATTTATTAGATCATTGTGTAATCCGGTAGTCACATAATATGATCCGAGTGAAACGGTAAAAAACGGCAAAGACGGAAAAAATTTGTCCAAAAAGGAAATCGGCATCCCATTCGGCCACATTTCCTTCGAGATTTCACTTGCTTCTTTAAGCAGTTTCGCTAATACAACCGTTTTATCGCACGCGACAAGTTAAGAAGACGGCGGGTTTTTTCTTTTGAATTTATGATCGGCCCCACAACCAGCAAAATGGCATATATTTTTCCACTTCTTAGCAGCTTAAAAACTTAGCGAAACAAATTGGACTTATATTAGAAAATGTTGAGCACACCAACACTTTTTTCTACATTCGCCTTGTTGGATCTCTATAAACAGTATATGTAATAATTTTCCGTGCCCAAATTAATTTTCTAAAATAATACGATTCATCTTCCCCCAGCTTGAAATTTTTAGGAAAGTACCATGTTACAGACTTGTTACTTATTATGATTGTGCAAACAGTTCGCAAATAAAAACTTTTATTAATTTTTTTTTGTTAATTCTTGGATGTTTTGTAAAACTTTTTCGTTAAACCCAAATAATGATTTTCTTATTCATTTCCTCTTTCAGTACTAGCTCTGGCCGCTTTGGTTGTTATGCTTAGAGGCTGCTAACGATTTTATTATCATTGTGTATTTTTTTCGTAGTAATCTCTGCTTTAAGGTGACGTACCTTCTTTAATTCAAAAGTTGTTCTATAAACTCCTAAAAAGATTTTAAGTTAAAACTGACCAATTCTCTGATATTTTCCAATATTTTATATTATAATTTTACTGGCTACTAGAATGTTCAGATTTTCAAATAATGTTCGTAAGATTGATTAAATTTCCGTCAACCTTGAGAAATCACGCTGGCTGACTTCAGACTATCGAGTTAAGTTAGAAAATCTAATTATCTAAGAAACTTACTAGTAGCTCAGATATTCATTAAGTTAATACTAGCTATAAGGAACTGTTACCTGTTTCCTAGCATAATTCAGCTCTATTTAAAAGCGACTTTAGCTTAACTATAACGCTATCAAACCTTACAATTAACTCTCCCTCCAATTCACCCCAAGTTACCAAGTTAAATACATTAAGTACTTTAAGTACATTTCTAGTATCTATTTTATCTATGTATTTGTTATATTGTTTTATAAGCTTTTTTTACCTTTTTTTATTGTCTGCAAGCTTTTTTATCCTATTATATTGCTTTAGCATATCCGATGTTAATTCATTTCAATGAATGTATGTGTAATTAGGATTGTATATCTGGAACTGGTAGTTTGCTTTCAAGGATTGCATGAGACATCCTACTTAATCCATTTTGTCAAAGGGTTAAAGAATATTTATTATTATTACTATTATTAAGATTAAGATTAAAATAGCGATGAATATAAAGTTCCTAAAATACAATAAGTAAATTAAATTCCATAGAAAAAAAATATGAATTTGTCAATAAATAATAATTAAATTTTATGGTGATGGATAATATTCAAAAAATAATAGCAATACTTTTGTACTACAATAGCGTTCTTGTTTGGGTATTCTAATATAACTTAAGAACATTTCAAAACATTTGTGTTTCTTTTATAAATATGGTGCAATATATTATAATTTTATTAGGGTTGTAAGATTTTCTAAATGCCGGTTTTAATAAATTAAGTTGGACTGATATTTTGGTTAGTTTGGTTAGTTTTCAGGGTCGTTGGATTTTTATTCACGAATCATTTAAATTCATGAATCCAGAGAGAAATTCTTTAGTGACTGTAACCTTAAGCATTCATATGACCTAGACAAAATATTGATTTTGTATCAGATAATTTTAACTTAACCTATTTGCAAAAAATGTATATTCATTTGGCAAAAAAGACAATACAATTTCATTATCTATCCGAAAAAACGATATTGTGACAAGAACATTCGATTCTAATAACTATTTACTCACACATTGCAATAAAGATTTATAGAATAATTTCAAAGACCTGTCTCTTGAGCAAAGCTTTTTATTCCATTAATGAAACTTTAAGTGATAGGTGGTGCCCGCGATTGTGGATGCTGAATATCGACTACCCTACTAGTAACGCCACGAAAATAAAACGTTTTTCAGTAACGGAAAACCGATAAAAATGTACGTTGTAGGTTAGTCATTCCTTTTGCACGTAAACGACGTAGATGGTTCCCTCACCGGCAGAACCCACCGTAGGTTATAAAGCGGACCACGCCACTTTACCCAAAGACATTGAAGTTCACTCTCACTGTTACATATTCCGCTGAACACGAGCGTTTTCCTCGGCCGTTTCAGGACTGCTGGAATTTCAGTCTAGTCCGACCGCGCTATTGCGTTAAGGATTGTTTTTGTGCCGCGGCTGCGGATATAGAAAATACACAGGGAAATCATCATGTGGCTTCGAAGAACAGTGAGTGCCTTATTTTTTTCGCCATTTTCGTGAAATGACATGGACTGATCAGATATTTATAAATTTTAATTTGTTATGAACTCAACGTTTATATTATATTTTAAACAATAGAATAAAAGTATATTGAAGTCCCAGAAAGAATATTTTTATGGGCACATATTTTTCTCATTTGCATTTTAATTTTTTTTGTTGTTGTTGAAACGTTATATTTTCGATAAATTAGTATCCAATTTGCTTTTGTGTACCAAATAAATAATTTTGGATTAGTTTCAAAAAATGACCATTATTTTACTAGAAGTAGCTCACCATAAACTGCTTGAATGACCTTATAAGGATCAACCTATCGACTTTACTTTATATTCTTTAGTGGACTATTATTCGGTGCTATATTTATATCCATTTGCTACATGAATTTAAAATTATTGTTTTTATAATTATTGCTATAATTATTTACATTTACATACACACTATACATAAATTGAGTTCATCTGATCAGTCTGTTCATTTAATTCGTAGATTGTTAACACAAAACAGGCATGCAATTTTTGCACCGGGCCATTCAAAAGTTCGTTGGTTAGTTACCTCATTTTCTTTCAAATATTACCTTGCTCGTTAGCTTAATAAATTATTATATAACTTTTATACATAACAGGCAATATTGAAAAACGTATTATAATGGCGTCTTTGTTTGGTATTTTAGTATAAGTTAAGTATATTCCAAAATATTTGGCTAAAAAAGGGGTAAGTTTCTCTTTTATAAATATGTATATATTTCGTAAAATAAAGTAGGTAGAGGTACTGTGATTGTGGTGATATCTTCATCATCTGTGTACATTCTGGTGCATCCAGAACTTTCTACTAAACATTTGCTAAGAAGTCTTTAGACAAATGCCGTGTCTTTTTGGTAAAACTTGATTTTCTGAACTTCTTTGGAAGTGTAATTGCCAGGCAATCAATGAATTGGCCACAAATAGCAAAAATAGCTTTAATATCTCACAAGAATATTAAGAATACTACTGATTGCTTTTAACAACACTGCAACGTCAAGAAAAATACACGACGAATTTATCATTTAAATGGAGAGCTTAAATTTTGCCAATTGCGTCAACCCTCCTCTCCTATCACACAGTTTATTAGTGTATATTATTTTCGAAGGGATTTTAAAGTAAAAGAATAAGTGTAAGTACTTATTGGAAAAATGAAAACAAAATCAACACACAACTAGTATTTTTCGACCAAAAAAGCAATAAATTGAAGTTAGAACTGCTTCACTCGGTCACGACTCAATTATAAAAATGTCTAAGACAGAAGAGATAATTTACATTAATATTGAGAGAGAAAGAAAAAGGTCAATGTAATAACATGTATTGTTGAGTAGATTCGCTTCTTAGGTTCTAGAGGCAGTAGCACGTTACAATAACAATTGTAGTTAATCATTGAAATAATTGAAAATATATAATTAATTACACGGGCAAACATTGTGCAATTTCCCTGCACATATTGCACATTTCCGTTAAAAGATTATTACCACAAACATGTCAGTAGCATACGCTCGGCGACCGCATTGTTTCAGCAAATTAGATTATGCCAAATAGGGTTCATAATTTAAAAAAATACACATTCAGTTGGTCCGGAACCAACTTCATTTCTTGACAACGTACAATCAACGTTTACGTGAATAGATACTCCATACCCACGTTTCAAAGCAACCGACGAGGTAAACAATGTCGATTCTTTAAGCGGACAATGCAAACCACAACGCAAAGTGCTACTTGTTAATCGAGTCGGAATGGTAAAAGGTTAAACATTTCCGTAAAAAACTTGCAAGAGAAATCCGATTTCGTCACGGGGATAACGCGCATAAGCATAGCAGAACTGACTGGATTTTCGATTCAAAACGATTTATCTGGATTTTTGCATAGAATAAAATCCATAAAAGAAATAAATTGTTAAAATACGTGCGTGCGCCGTTGACCCATTGAACTCTGATCCTATTTATTACACCCATAATTTATGCAACATTGCATTCGCCATTGTGGAGCAATACTTTAAATGATTATGTTTATACTAAATGGGTATAGGGTACAGTGGGTCCGCCGTCTGATATCTTTATGTAGGTGGCTCAAAAAATTTAAAATCCGAATTAAATGGTTCAGAGTAAAACTCAAATTTTATTGTCAAAATGGATCGGTAATTATAAGATCAGCAGACGGAGTAATGTTTGCAGCAACCACATATGCAACAACAGTGCATATTAAAACCAATATTCAATAAATAAAATTTTGAAAGTAGACAAATAAAACAAACTCTCCTCTTATTTTTCAAATCAATGTGATTAATTAAAAGAAGATATACTTAGTTTTGATTGATTTTATTTGATAATAGGTATCTACTAAATCCAATCATAACATGGGAATTTCAATTGAATTTGGGACAAATACATTTTTTAATACATAGTTTAATTCAATAATAAGCAAAATACGGCTAATAATAACATCTTATAGAGTACGACAGGACATTGATGTTGTTTCAAGTGTTCCTCAGGCTTCACATTGTGTTCTCTTCGATTTATGTAATTGATATATTTGTTACGTTTCTAACACTTTTGGAATTTGCCGATGATTATAAGAATAAAACATTTGGGGTATTGTTTTATGGTTATTTAAAGGCGTTTAAGGCTTAGGATTAGCGTATTACGCTTTTGTCAGGTCAGTGTTGGAATAGGCTATCCCGTTTAGTGTTATAACACTTATATTCATAAGCTAGAAAATGTTTACAAAAAAAAGCGCATTGCAGCATATGTGTTAAAAGTACCCAAACTGAATTAATTTCAGTACTCTAGAAACGGATGCGATTGCCGATTTTTAAGCTCCGTCGATTGATATGGACTATAGTTTTCTTATTTCATAATTGAATTTTAGAATTAATTGTAGAACCTTGCTTAAGGATGTATTTTTTTATATTTTATTTAGTGCTACTAACTATAGCTTGAACAGTCTATTGGTCCATTTTCAAAGAGTGTTTAATATTTAATATTTCTTTTTCTATTCCCTTCTGTAAAATACCTAATTAAACACCGATCTAGCTTGCGGAAAGCGTCACTTTACCACATCAGTTTCGTTTCACATGAATCGGAGCTATTTCGGACATTTCGAGGATTTTACCGCACGGGTTTGGGAGCAATCGGATGTTTTCGGAGATATTTCCCAGGGCTTGAATTTTAACGTTTGTCAATTCTGATGGTCATGTCAGTGAATGTATTCGTGTTATTTTGTGAAAATGCACCAAAAAACTAACGGTCGTAGAAAAAGTATATTATGCAACACGTTCGGTAAAGTTTTTAACTCACTCGTTTATTTATTGTTATTACCAATTTATTTTAAAACTCGTGAGTCAAATGTGGTTTACCCCACTTGTTGCATAATATACTATTACGACTCATCTATTCAATTCTGATAGAACGCAGCTTAGTCAAAAGAACCAATACCAAAAAACTTGTTTAAGAAAGTTAATTATTAAATACCATAGTCGTTTTATGGAACTAATTAAATGTGTTTATCATTTGAGGAAACACTCATTTAAATAAGACACATCTATAAACAAAGTTTCCAAGACTGGTTTATCGGGATAAAACATGATTTTTCGTAGTTTTCAATATGAATTCCAAATTGATGCAGTCCTTTTCGCTCTGTGTTATATTTATAAAGCATATTGAAGTATATTGTTATTTGCATTATCTGAATCTAAAATAAAGTAATGTTTAAAACCAATACCAAAAATGCTCAACATGACTGCCGGCAGTTCGTGAATTGGACAGTGTTTACTTGGACTGTGGCATTCTTTCAGAAATATTTCCTAAAATATTAACAGATTCCATTATATTTCATTGGAAAAACGTAGTATAAGTGTGTGGAGATGACCACTTAAGAACAATGAAGCGAAGTACAGTTTAGTGTGTGAAATTGCGATCATTCCCTCTCTGTACGAAAATGCGATACACAAAAACGTTAAAACAGAATAAATGCATGACACAATTTTTTAAAAATAGAACTAGCAATTAAAATAGTTTATTAGTAACAGTACTGGCATGACACAAAAAGTTTCAGGGGAAGTAATTGTACTTGCCCCTGAAAATCACCTTTACACACTAAATGTCGCTAAAGTACTAAAAATTTTTTCGCATTTTTTTAAGAAAAATTAAAAGAAAATTTAACGCAATGTATTTGCCGAACGAAGAGTTTTCGCATCCAGGTTTCATAGGAACTTTTTTTCTTACAATGATTCAGATGTCACCCTTTTTCTGATTTTTAGGTCTACCTATTTAAGAGAGGGTAGTCTTATTTGTCTCTTTGAGTAATAATAAAAAATAAGAATAAAATGTTCTAAAGTTTGCCATAGACAAAAATGGCCGTGTCTAATTCTACGCCGACCTGTTACGAAATTAAATTGTCGATAGTTATGGTAAAAAATTCTTTTGCACATGATTTCATATGCCTTTTCCTTTTGCCCTCGTGATTTGGTATTTAAGCGTAAGTCACAACCTCAAAAGAAGTTTTTGCGGAGCTCACGATCTTACGATTAGTTCTTTTAACGACACAAAAACAGCAAAATGGAACAATGAAAAAATAATAATCATATTTATTATATCACAATTACGGTAAAAACATTGCACGCTTTCTTGGTATGGGCGTACTGTTGAAATTCTTTTTGTGCAACGTGAAACGGACTGATGAAATGATCGGGATTTGATTCTAATTAATTTTAAAAAGCCAAGCAATCAAAAAAATTGACGGCTCCCTATGAATAATAAATACCATGAGAAGATTCCCAACTGAACCTTAAAATTGAACAATCCGGTATGCAAATCGAATGGTTACTTGAATACAATCTTCGCACTGGCGACAGAAACATACAATCAGTTCGTTTTAAATTCCACTCGTTTATAATACAATGCAACAAGCAGCCACACAATATGACCAAGTTTTTTCTTTTCCCAAGAA